TTCTATATATATTAGTTGGCCAATTAATTTCTTTCTCTTTATAGTAGAGACAGGGTCTCGCTCTCGCTCAATCTGGTTTCGAACTCCTGACCTCGAGCAATCTGCCCGCCTCGGCCTACCAGAGAGCTAGGATTACAGGCATGAGCCACCGCGCCCGGCCCACACAACTTTTTTAAAAAGCCTTTTGTCTTAGTTTTTCTTATTTTCTTCCTTCCTAATACAGACATTGGTGCTGGGAAGTGTAATGCTACTGTAACAAATACCTAAAAATGTAGAAATGGCTTTTCAACTGGGTAATCGACAGAGGCTAGAAGAGTTCTGAGGTGCATGCTGATCACTTTGAAGAGACTGTTGTTAGAAATATGAACATTGAAGGCAATTCTGGGGAGGGCTCAGAAAGAAAAGAAGAGAGCTACAGAGGAGGTTTCCATAGTCTTAGAGCTATACATATATAATCATGAATAGAATGTTGGTAGAAACATAAACATTAAATAGAAACACTACTGGGCCGGGCGTGGCAGCTCATGCCTGTAATCCTAGCACTCTGGGGAGACTGAGGCGGGAGGATTGTTTGAGCTCAGGAATGGAAGACTAGCCTGAGCAAGAGCAAGACTCAGTCTCTACTAAAAATAGAAAAAATTAGCCAGGAGTGGTGGCACACACCTGTAGTTCCAGCTACTTGGGAGGCTGAGGCAGGAGGATCGCTTGAGCCCAGCAGTTTGAGGTTGCTGTGAGCTAGGCTGTCGCCACGGCACTCACTCTAGCCTGGGCAACAAAGCGAGACTCTGTCTCAAAAAGAAAAAAAGCCGGGCGCTGGCTCACGCCTGTAATCCTAGCACTTTGGGAGCCGAGGCGGGCGGATCGCTCAAGGTCAGGAGTTCGAAACCAGCCTGAGCGAGACCCCGTCTCTACCAAAAATAGAAAGAAATTAATTGACCAACTAAAAATAATATATATACAAAAAATTAGCCGGCATGGTGGCGCTGAGCCTGTAGTCCCAGCTACTCTGGAGGCTGAGGCAGTAGGATCGCTGAGCCAGGAGATTGAGGTTGCTGTGAACCAGGCTGACGCCACACCACTCTAGCCTGGGCAAACAAAGTGAGGACTCTGTCTCAAAAAAAAAAAAAAAAAAAAAAAAAAGATGCCTCTGGTAAGCTTAGACAGAAATGAGAAGCATGTCATTGGAAATTAGAGGAACATGGTACTTGTTATTAAGTGCAGAGGATCTAGCTGTTTTTACTGTTTTGTGGAAAGGCCAAATATATTAAGCGATCAATTATTATTTAGCTGGAGTTTCCTTTCTTCAGGGTTATGATTTTTCTTTGGTTTTTGTTTATTTGTTTTTTTTTTTTTGAGACAGAGTCTCGCTTTGTTGCCCAAGCTAGAGTGAGTGCCTGGTGTCAGCGCTAGCTCACAGCAACCTCAAACTCCTGGGCTCAAGGGATCCTCCTGCCTCAGCCTCCCGATAGCTGGACTACAGCATGCACCACCATGTCTGGCCAATTTTTCTATATATATTAGTTGGCCAATTAATTTCTCTATTATAGTAGGACGGGTCTCGCTCTTGCTCAGCTGGTTTCAACTCCTGGACCTGGAGCAATCGCCCCGCCTCGCCTCCCAAGAGTCTAGGATTACGGGTGTGAGCCACCGCGCCCGGGTCTGGTTTTTTTTATTTGTTGTGTTTTTTCCGGAGGAGATTTCTAAGCAAAGTGTTGAAAGGTATCTCCTTGTGCGTATAGTGAATGTGAGAGAGACCAGAATTAAGAAGGAACTTGTAAACAAAAATGAAACCAGAACTTAAAGACTTTGAAATCCTCAGGCTATCCATATTGTAAAAAAATGAGAAAGATCTGCAAGGCTGTGGAAAGCGCCCAAGTGCCCATCAATCCAAGAATGGATTAATAAATGTGGTATATGTATACCGTGGAGTACTATTCAGCTCTAAGAAACAATGGTGATATAGCACATCTTATTTCCTGGTTAGAGCTGGAACCCATATATAAGTGAAGTATCCATGAATGGAAAAACAAGCACCAGATATATTCTCCAGCAAACTGGTGACTCAGTAATAGTGGTATTGGGCAGGTGGGAGGGGAGGGGGCCGGTATATACATACATAAGAATGAGATGTGCACCATCTGGGAATGGTCATGCTGGAAACTCAGACTTGTGGGGGGGGAGGGCATTATTGAAACCTAAAATCTGTTCCCCCATAATATGCCGAAATAAAAAAACAAACAAACAAAATAAATAAATAAAATGAAAAAAAAATAGAAAACATATTCTGGACAGAATATCAAGGATGTGCTTTCACACAATTTACCAAAAGCTTACAGGCATATGACTTCGGATCCAATCAGTCATCTCAGCAGAAGCCAGGAATAGAGACTGGGTTATATAGAAACAGAAATTGCCACTTGGGACGGTGCAGTGGCTCATGCCTATAATCTAGCTCTCTGGAGGCCGAGGCAGCAGATGCTCGGAGGTCAGGATTCGAAACTAGCCTGAGCAGAACAAGACCCCGTCTCTACTAAAAATAGAAAGAAATAATGGCAACTATATATATAGAGAAAAAAATTGGCTGGGCATGGTGCACATGCCTGTAGTCCCAGCTACTCACGAGGCTGAGGCAAAAGGATCGTTGAGCCAGAGATTGAGGTTGCTGTGAGCTAGCTGACGCCATGGCACTCACTCTAGCCTGGACAACAAAGCCAGACTCTGTCTTCAGAAAAAAAAAAATAAAACTGCCGCTTGGACTAAAGGGACAGAAATCGGACAAAAGAAGCTGCTGGACTTCTGAGATTCTATAGAACAGGCCATAAAACTATTAAGCTGTCAAACAGAGTTATTCCTCAAGAATGGAAGAATGACTCTGAAGAGGCTCAGAAGTCAGCAGAGTCGGGCTGGCGCTGTGGCTCACGCCTTAATCCTAGCACTCTGGAGGCCAAGGTGGAGGATCACCCAAGTCACGAGTTTGAGACCAGCCTGAGTAGAGCGAGATCCCGTCTCTACTAAAAATAGAAAGAAATTCACTGGACAACTAAACTATATAGGAATGAAAATATTAGCCAGGTGTGTGGTGGACGCCGTAGTCCCAGCTACTCAGGAGGCTGAGGCAGAAGATCACTTCGGCCCAGGAGTTTGAGTTGCTGTGAGCTAGGTTGATGCCACTGCACTCTAGCCTGGGCAACAGGTGAGATCTGTCTCAAATAAATAAATAACAAAATATCTTAGATAGAAGTACAGTAAAATATGGTATTATAATCTTACAGGACCACACTGTATAGTGATCGATCCATCAGGTACAAAACATTATATGGCATATGACTGATACTCTGAAGTAGGGTGACTGCTGTCTGGTTTCACAGATTCACAAATGAGGGAATTTTGCCCAGGATAAATATTTACTTGATCTCACCCATACCTTGACTTAAGATGATATTTAGACAGGAGTTTGGACTTAAGAGTTGATGCTAAATTAGTTAAGACTTTTGAGCTGCTGGAATGGAAAAGTTTATCTGAGTGTCTGAGTGTGAGAGAGACATGAAATTTGGGAGCCAGAGAACAGAGCACAACAGGCTGAAGTATGTCTCACCCCAATTCATATGTTAATGAATAGAACTGTCTACTCCCAGTACTCAGAATGTGACTGTATTTGGAGATAGGCCTTTAGAAATAATTAAGGAAAATGATTACATGGCTGTCCTGTAATCAATAGACTTGTGTGCACCGTAAGAAAGGAGATTAGGACACAGACATGTATACACAGAGGAAATACCATGTGAAGACAAAAAGAAGGCAGCCATCCATAAGCCATGGAGAAAACTGATGATGCCTTGATCTTACTTCTAGCCTCCAAAACTGTAAGGAAATAAATTGTTATTTAAAGCACCAGTCGATTATACTTGGATATGGCAGCCCTAGCAAAACTAATACATAGTATAAGGAGGAAAAATAAGACATGACACATACAATGCAGGGATAATTATGAAACAAGGTACAGAAGAGGTGGAATTAGAGCAGAAGAGAAGATGTATCTTCACCTGAGAACGTAAATGAGTGATCCATTTCTAGAAAGAGTCAGGAAACCAAGGAAGACCATGCCTATGGTTTTAACTTCCTAATGAAGCAGGAATGAAAGTAATTTGTAACATCTTTATTTCTTGAGTAGACCATGGAGTACTCAAAGATAAGAAGTAGCTGTTCCCTATAGTAAAGATAGCTCATTGCATATAATAGGTTATGCAAACATTATAAAATGTTTACATAACTGAATTTTAGTTCCAGCTTATGGATTGGTGAACTAATGCCAGTAACTATGCATCAATGGAAAATTAACAGGATAGAAATATAAAATGGTAGGAGGAACAATATTTGACGCACACAACAAAGTGGACTATAATCACAATAAGTTAAGATATACTTTAAGGCCGGGCGCGGTGGGTCACGCTGTAACTCATCTGGGAGGCTGAGGCAGGCGGATTGCCGAGGTCAGGAGTTCGAAACCAGCCAAAGCAAGAGTGAGACCCCCGTCTCTACTATAAATAGAAAGAAATTAATTGGCCAAGTAATACATAAGAAAAAATTAGCCGGGCATGGTGGTGGCATGGCCTGTAGTCCAGCTACTCACGAGGCTGAGGCAGGAGATTGCTTGAGCCCAGGAGTCTGAGGTTGCTGTGAGCTAGGCTGACGCCATGGCACTCACTCTAGCCTGGGCAACAAGCAAGACTCTGTCTCAAAAAAAAAAAAAAAAAAAAGAGTATACTTTAACTAAAAGAGTAGAATTGCAATGTTCCTAACACAAAAAAATGATAAATGCCTGAAGTGATGGATACACCAATACCCTGATTTGATTAATCCACATCGCATGCCTGTATCAAAACACCACACACACGTACCCTATAAAGATATACTACTATTATGTACCCATAAGAATTTTTAAAAAATTCAAAAATGGTATGGAGATAAAAGACAAGGATCTGGAAATTACATTTCTTTACCTGTACATTCTTTGTAAGTCAGATGCTAAGACTCCGATGTCCACATATTTGCCGCATCTGTTACTGGTGAGGTACTAAAACAGAAAATTTGCCAAATATAAAACACTCAATATTTTAAATTCAGTGACTTTAATCAACAAACAAGAGACTGAGCTATTCAAACACATTATCCATCAATGTAAACTCTTCAATAAACCATATCAGAAACATAAATAAAAATCACCAAATAACTGTTAAGTCTAGAATCAGAAAATTGAATTAACATTATTAATCACTGTGACACAATAACAATTACTAGAATAGCTATAAGGTGGTAAGTGAAGGCTTACTATATCCCAAGTTTCCAAACACCCTAGGACACAACAGTAAACTCACAAAGAGCACCATGGGATATTTTAAACTTGAAGGAACACATGAAATCTGACATGTCAAACACTGCAGAAACTACTAGCTTGAGGCTATTCAGTTTCAACATTAAATCACCTTTTGGTGATGTCATATTTTTGCAAAACTGGGTTTTCAGAGGTTGCTGTGATAAAAAGCAAATATTATGGAAAAATCAACATAGAAGAGGAAATGAGAGTGACAGTGTCAATATGATTCCAAGGTATGAGAAATTATACAGTGCCCAATGAGCACACAAATAAGAATGAAAGACAAATATTTTAATTTTCCTTAGATTTGTGTGTGTGTGTGTGTGTGCGTGTGTATTTTTGTTTTTATTTGAGACAGGGTCTTGTTCTGTCACCCAGGTCAGAGTGCAGTGGCAAGATCATAGCTCACTATAGCCTCAAACTCCTGGGCTCAAGCAATCCTCCTGCCTCAGGCTCCCAAGTAGCTGGGATTACAGGCACGTGCCACTGTGCCCAGCTAATTTTTTCTGGTTTTTTTTAGTTGTTTGGCTAATTTCTTTCTATTTATAGTAGGGATGGGGTCTTGTTCTTGCTCAGGCTGGTCTCGAACTCCTGAGCTCAAACAATCCTCCCACCTCAGCCTCCCAGAGTGCTAGGATTATAAGCATGAGCCACCGTGCCCGGCCCCATTATTTCTTTTAAAGTGCACAGTCCCATAAGGTAGATATCAGTCTCCCCATTTTAACGATGAAGAAGTTTAAATGAAGCTTTAAAAGGTGGCCAGCCTGGGTAACAAATCGAGACCCTCCCCTGACACACACACAAAACTTTAAAAAATTAGCCAGGTGCAGTGGTGTGCACCTATAGTCCCAGCTACTTGGGAGGCTACGGCAGGAGGATCCCTTGAGACCAGGAGTTCAAGGCTGCAGTGAACTATGACCATATCACTATACTCCATCCCTGATGACAGAGCAAAACCCTGTCTCAAAAGAAAAAAAAAAAAAATGTGATTAGTTTGTAGGCAGCACATAACAAATTGCAGTCCCAGAGTTTAAACCTGTCCAGTCTAGCTTCCCCATTTCATACAACAATTTTTTTCTTATTTTTCTTTTTTTTGAGACAGTCTCATTCTGTTGCCCAGGCTAAAGTGAGCGCCCTGGCGTCAGCCTAACTCACAGCAACCTTAAACTTCTGGGCTCAAGCAATCCTCCTGCCTAGCCTCCCGAGTAGCTGGGACTACAGGCATGCCCGACTAATTTTTTCTATATACTTTTACTTGGTCAGTTATTTTCTTTCTATTTTTAGTAGAGCATGGCGTCTCTCCTCGGCTCGCTCCGCGCTCCGGGCTTTGCCTCCTGGCACCTTGAGCACCTCCTCCCACCCCTCGCTCCCCAGAGGTGCTAGATTACCGACGCGTCCGAGCGGCCCTCACCCTGGCTGCACCGTACAGAGTTAACTTCTTAACATGATACCTGTGTATACCCTACTCCTCATACCCGCTTCCCAAGCCGTCACAGCTCGCCTGACTGGTCGCACACGCCCGCAATCTACCCACCGCCTCAATCGCTGCTCTAAAATTGAAATGGGGTCATGGTTACTGCCGGCAGCAATCACTTGAATCACACTGCGGCTCGGAGTTCACCCGCGCCCCACCATCACTCTTAGCGGCAGGCACAGCGGCAAATGCTACCTACTCTAGGGCAAGATGTCTAAGCTCACCATAGGCTCACGTAGACTAGCAGCAACAAACTGAGACGTCTACTTTGACTCTAAAAACCGAAAAAGAATATCCTTATCACCCCTGTGTCACCCGATACTGCACCCACATTTTTAGAACCGAAACACAGGAACTCTCAGCGTGACAGCTAGAACACCCGTGTAAGAAGAGCAGCGGAGCAGGCGAATTGTTTCTTTTCATTTTTCAGCGCTTCCTGTCTCCTTTATTTCTCAAAGCATGGAGAACTTCCTTACTCGCGTTGACGCCGATCGCTTTACTACAGCAGCGTCTGAAATCGCTACTGATGCTCCAACACACCAAAACACTCTTATTAACCAGGAATGCTATGATCGCGCGCACACCAGTGCGAAACATTGCACGCTCATCCCATCGCTTCTTCAACACCACCAAGTTTTGTTGTGCAGTCTACAACGCGTCTATGTAATATACTTGTACTAACTTTCTCTTCTAGAGCCTCACGCGTACACGCGTGTACTATGAAGACAGCCCCGGCGCGCCGAGACAGATGCTCGCTCTCAACCAGGCATTAACGCGAGCCGGAGTGATCGAGAACACCGCGGAAAAGAGTATGTAAGAGGACAGAGTCTTGGGGCTCTTCCCAACCACCTTTAGAGAGCTTGTGCGGCAGGGCCCGCTGCTCTCAACGGCTCGTAATCCTCAGCGCTCCTCTGGGAGGCGACGCGGGCACGCATTGCTCGGGCCCTCAGGCGTCTCGACCCACGCGCTGAGCAGAGGTCGAGCCCCTGCTCTCACTCCACTCCACCTACGGACACGGAAATTAACCTTGGCCAACTCATATATGTCGGCAAAAATCTAGGCCGCGGCACTCAGTGGCGCACTGCGCTGTAGTGCCTCAGCTACCCCGGGAGACTGAAGGCACGGGGAGTTGCTCTGAGCCCCCAAAGGAGCTTTGAGGTTGCTGTGAGCTAGGCTGACGCCATGGCACTCACTCTAGCCTGGGCAACAGAGTGAGACTCTGTCTCAAAAAAAAAAAAAGAAAAAAAAAAAAGAAGTTGGTGGTAAGAGACAAATCCAAAATGGAGATTGTTTAATGGCCAGTGAGGTAAAAGAAAACCAAGGAGAATGTGAAGCTCACAAACACCAAAATTAAGAACGATCTCGTCCTCCTTTTAACTCAGACTGCTTGCTAACTGTACCATTCCAAGGCATTTGCCACATTTGCATTTGCTTTCTACTGATGGTTATGAAAATGAGAAAAGCGTGAACAAGGTGCCTATTCCAATGTCAGATCCAAATTATCTACTTTTACTATGTGTTAAATTCCTTGTGAACGGAAATTAATGTATTCTTCATGGGCCTCCCAAAGGGCCTCGTACAATACGGTCGTTAGAGGAAAGTATCCGTCTCAACTTCACAAGACAAAAGGGTTGTAATTCCAAGGCTAACTCCGCTGTCCTGAAAGGTCCCCGCTGAAGTCGACCGGACACAAGAAGCCCAACCAAGTTGCGTCCTCCCACCCACCCGGGTTCCCCCGTGAGGCTCCGCCGCACGGTGGGAAGCGAAGGTTCCCGCACCACCAGTCCTGGAGTCGAACAGACCCGCGCCCGAACCCAGAGCTAGTCGGGCTCGACCTGCAAGCTGCCCGAAGGGGCATCAGCGCCCGGGGCCTCGCGAGGCCGAGCTGCGCAGAACACACACCTGGGTGATTCGCTGCTTGAGTTTATTATCCGCAAAGCCCGGGGGTCTGGGCTTCATCGCGTCGGTCTCCCAGCCCACAGCCCGGGCCGCCAACTCCACAGGACCCCGGGGTCCCCGTGGGGCTGCCCGCCGTGATTGCCGCACCAGCTGCGCTCAAATGCGCCCTGCCTCCCCTGGCCCGCGCCGTTCTCCCCAGGACAAAAATAGTGCGAATGCGAAAAAAAGAAAAAAGAAACCGAAGAGAAGGAGAAGACTTGAAAACCTCAGGGAATTTCTAGGAGTTTTATTTTGCAGGCTTATCCAGCAGGCCCTGGGACGAGTAGGACCCCTTTGAACATGCGCAACTTTATTGGTTCCCAGCTGCGCGCACACGGGCCGGCCGTGGCCGCCGGGAGGTTCCCGCCCCGCTGCCAACGTCTGTGGGTAAACTTGGTTTCGTTTGTCTCAAGCTAGCCGTCCGAACCACACCCCTTTCCATGCAGAATTAATCTTGGCCCAGAACCTCAACAGAACCAGACTGTGGATACTTGGAATGGTTAAGTCAGGACAAAAACACACCACCACCCGCTGCTTGCTTTTCCGCTTAAATGCCGACGTTATCGAGGCCTGACAAAGGGGCTAGATGTAAAAGAAAAGAAAGGAGAGTCTGGTTTACCCAAAAAACTAAGTCATTTTTTACTTTTAAAACTCGTTTGATCTTAACGCTGTTATCAATAGATAATTATAATAGCTGAGTACCTCCAGTGCGAGACTACTTAGCCTAGAAACTGGCCAGAATTTTTTTTTTTTTTTTTTTTGAGACAGAGTCTTACTCTGTTGCCCAGGCTAGAGTGAGTGCCGCGGCGTCAGCCTCGCTCACAGCAACCTCAAACTCCTGGGCTCAAGCAATCCTGCTGCCTCAGCCTCCCGAGTAGCTGGGACCACAGGCATGCGCCACCATGCCCGGCTAATTTTTTCTGTATGTATTACTTGGCCAATTAATTTCTTTCTATTTATAGTAGAGACAGGATCTCGCTCTTGCTCAATCTGGTTTCGAACTCCTGACCTCGAGCAATCCGCCCGCCTCGGCCTTCCAGAGTGCTAGGATTACAGGCGTGAGCCACCGCGCCCGGCCTAGAATTTTTTTTTGAAACGGGGTCTCACCATATGGCCCAGAGTGGTCACCAACCTGGCCTCAAGGGATCCTCCCACCTCACCCTCCAGCATAGCTGAGACTAAACCTGCGCGCTGCCACGCCCGGGAGGTGGGGTTCTTTTCGCTTTGCTCCTGGCCTCAGGTAATCCTCCCATATAGCTAGGATTACAGGGGAGAACCACCACACCTGGCCAGAATTTATTAAACATTTGTCTTTAACCAAAGATACAAAGGGATAATTGTCATTCATTTTTTTAAAAGTTGCATGCTTTAGTTTCTGTGTGTGTGTGTGTTTTAATCATGTTTTCAATATTCTTATTTCAGATCTTATTTGGCTTATGACAATATTAAGTGCAGTGTTTTGAGGAGTAGGGGTGGAGAGAAAATGAAATTGAGAGAAGGGTGTGAGTAGATGGTAATAGATAACTATCTTCTCAGGATACCACTGACATCCATCAAAAGAGTTCAGATCATATCACTGTTCTTTTCAATGGTTCTCAACTGTCCACTGAATTAAGTATAGATTTCCCACTGTGATTTTCAAAATAATAGTCTATTTGGCTTAAACTTCATTTCTTTTTCACTATATGTACTCTGTTTTATTGGGGTTTTTTAACTGTAAAATTCACATAAAATTTATCATCTTAAACTTTTTTTGAAAAAATTTACTAAAAGAGCTTTCAGATAGTTAATAAGTCAAAAATTATTTGTATTGATAAGACAGACAATATTAAATATTAATGAGAACTTTTAAAACCAACTATTCTCGAGACAATCTTACATTTGAGATTTTGCTTTCCCTGTGCAACAGTGGAACTCATTTCTCTTCCTTCTTTCAATTATAAAAACCTTATGTATAACTTTAATAAGTCTTAAAATGTTTTAAAAATTGCTTAGTTCACATATATTACAATTCATCCATTTAAAGTACAATTCAATGATTTCTCATATATTCACAGAATTGTACAACTATCACCACAATCAAATTTATCATATTTTCATTACCCCCCAAAGAAACTATGTACCCATTAGCAGTCACACTCCATTTTCCTAGAACTATCCACCCCCACTCAAGCCCAGGAAATTAATCTACTTTCTTTCTGTATAAATTTACTTATTCTGGATATTTTATATAAATGAAATAACATACTCTCTGGGTCTTTCATGGCTGGCTTCTTTGACTAAGCATGTTTTCAAGGTTCATCCATGTTGTACCATGTATCAGTACTTCATTTTTTATGGCCGAATAATATTCCATTGTATGGATATACACTTGCATATACCTAGGAGTCATGCTGAGTCATATGGTAACTCTATGTTTAACCTTTGGAGAAATTGCCAGACTGTTTTTCTTTTCTTTTCTTTTCTTTTCTTTTCTTTTCTTTTTTTTTTTTTTTGAGACAGAGTCTCACTCTGTTGGTAGGGCTAGAGTGCTGTGGCATCAGCCTAGCATCACACAACCTAAACTCCTGGCTCAAGCATCCTCCTGCCTCCAGCCTCCTTGGTAGCTGGGAATACAGGCATGCACCACCATGCCTGGCTAATATTTTCTATGTATTTTTAGTTAGCCAATTAATTTCTTTCTATTTTTAGTAGAGATGGGTATCGCCTCTTGCTCAGGGCTAGTTTCGAACTCCTGACCTTGAGCAATCCGCCCACCTCGGCCTCCCAAAGTGCTAGGATTACAGGCGTGAGCCACCGCGCCCGGCCTCAGACTATTTTTTAAAGTGGCTGTGCCATCTTACTTTCCCATCAGCAATGTATGACAAATCCAATTTTTCGAAATTCTCACCAGTATTTGTTATTAAGTGATTTTTGGAAAATAGCCATCCTATTAATAGTTGGTATGCAGTCATATTTCATTATGGTTTTGATTTCCATTTCCTTGACTGCTAATGATGTTGAACAACATTTTGGTGTTTGTCAGGCATTTGTAAACTTCTGTGGAGAGATGTCTATTCAGATTCCTTGACCATTTTTATTTTTATTTTGCTTTATTTTCAGAGCATTACAGGGGTACAAACGCTTTGGTTACATAAATTGCCTTGCACCACCATGCTTGTAGTCAGAGCTACAAGCATGCCATCACTCAGACCACATCTGTTAGGTGTGAATTTATCCATCCCCTCCTCCCCCTCTCATCTTAAACATTTTTAAGTTTGATGGTATTAAATTTATGCATAATGTTGTGCAACCATCACCACCATTCATATCCAGAGCTCTTTTCATCGTATAAAACTGCAACTCTATAGCAATTAAAAACTAGCTCCCAATTCCTCCTTCCCCACAGCCCCTGGCAGCTACTATTCTACTTCCTGTCTTTATGATTTTGACTACTCTAATTATGTCATGTAAGTGGAATCACACAATGTTTGACTTTTTGTGACTGGCTTATTCCACTTAGCATAATGTCATGTTATAGCATGTGTCAAATTTCCTTCTTTTTTAATGCTGAATAATATTCCATTGTATGGGTATACCACATTTTGCTTATTCATTTATCGATAGCCATTTGGGTTATGCTGTGGTTTGAATGTGTCCCTCAAAATTCATAAATTGGAACCTTAATGCCCAATGCAAAAATATTGAGAGGTGGGACTCTTGAAGAGGTAATTAGGTGGGCTGGGCATGGTGGCTCAAGCCTGTAATCCTAGCACTCTGGGAGGCCGAGGTGGGCAGATTGCTCAAGGTCAGGAGTTCATTGCTCGAGGTCAGGAGTTCGAAACCAGCCTGAGCGAGAGCTGTCTCTACTAAAAATAGAAAGAAATTAATTGACCAACTAAAAATATATATACAAAAAATTAGCTGGGCATGGTGGCGCATGCCTGTAGTCCCAGCTACTCGGGAGGCTGAGGCAGGAGGATCGCTTGAGCCCAGGAAATTGAGGTTGCTGTGAGCTAGGCTGACGCCACGGCACTCACTCTAGCCTGGGCAACAAAGTGAGACTCTGTCTCAAAAAAAAAAGGAGGTAATTAGTTGACACAGCCCTCATACATGGATTAATCCTGTCATAGAGAGAATGGGTTAGTAATTTTGGGAGTGGATTCCTGGTAAAAGGCTGAATTCTGCCCCCTTCTGCCCTCTCCTGCTCTTTTGCCCTTCTGCCTTCCACTGGGATGACACAGAAGGAAAGCCCTCATATGATGCTGGCACCTTGATATTGGACTTTCTAGTTTTCTCCCATTCATTCAACAATTATTTATTGAGTGCCTACCAGTTTCAGTCCCCTGCCCTTTAGTTCTGTTGGGAAAGGAAGACCTATAATTGCAACTTTTTATGATATCTTTTTTATTAGAGTAGGTATTTATGTGCTTGATTATATCAAACATTAGCAAAGATTCCTACACCAAATAACACAAATATAGTCAATTCCTAGTAATTTTTAAAGTGTAATTTAATTCTATGCATGCCAAATGTGCTACATAGAATAAAGGCAGGTTGAAAGGTCTTGACTGAGCAGGCCTAAACAGAAAAAAAATTAAAAAACAGGTTGAAAGGCCTGCTAGCATTACAACATATACCAAGCAACACAGTTCATTAGTCTATAATTTGTCATAGAATACTATCCTACACCTAGGGCTGACTTCATGGGTGTAAACACACAGCACCCTATGCTTAGAAGAGCATGGTTTAATGCTCTGCTGTTGCCATCTCAAAATATATAATACATTTTGAACAACTAGCCCCTTATTTTCATTTTGCACCGGGTCTTGCAAATTATGTAACCGGTCTTTCACACATGGACTTGAAGTACTCTAGAATGCCTGCTTCTTAAGGGCAGGGAGTGTGTTCACCTCATTACTGTATCATGTGGAGTAGCCGATAATTGAATGTGAGTTAATACTAGATATCAAATAATAATATGCTTGAACATCTTTGTTGGAATTATTTCTATTCGGTATTGCCCTGAAGACAATTTTACATTTGTTCCAGTGTTCAGATTTACAATAGCATACATCTACACCAAAAAGATTACTGACCAGTAACCTGAGTGCATGTACACTTCAAGCACTTCCTGCATTAATTGAAAAGTCCGGCCAGGCTCAGTGGCTCACGCCTGTAATCCTAGCACTCTGGGAGGCTGAGGCGGGCGGATTGCTCGAGGTCAGGAGTTCGAAACCAGCCTGAGCAAGAGCGAGACCCCGTCTCTACTATAAATAGAAAGAAATTAATTGGCCAACTAATATATATAGAAAAAATTAGCTGGGCATGGTGGTGCATGCCTGTAGTCCCAGCTACTCGGGAGGCTGAGGCAGAAGGATTGCTCGAGCCCAGGAGTTTGAGGTTGC